AGTATAAAATATGTGTTTTGAGGACCTCAGCTTTGATAAATGTAGTTGGATCTATATTTAAGATTTTTGCAAGAATATTATTGAGTATTGAATATTTTGTTGGTCCTGGTGTTTGATTGGACTTGTCTTATATGGTGAGAGTATTAAAGATGATCTGGGTAGCCCATGTTTCGTTCCTCTGGTCATGCTTTTCAGTTATTTTGACTATTGTATCGAGGATGTAGAGTTCTCTCTTCTTAACAATTTGTATAATTTTCCATTCCTTTGTCATATTGGTCACGTGTAAGAGTTTTTTTTTTTAATTATATAATAAAAATTATAAAAAATATATATATATATTATATTTTATTATATTTTTTTAAAAAAAATTTTTGAATATATTTTTTAAGTTTTATTTTTTAAAAAAATATAGTTTTTTATCAAATTTTTACTTTTGAAGAATTTTGATTGATCACTATTATAAGTTTTATAATAATTAATAAAAAAAAATATTTAATAATAATAAAACTTTTTGAAATTATTTATAAAAAATTTTTTTAAAAAATATATGAAATAAATCAAATATTAAGATATAATATATATAAATTTTATAATTTTTGATTGTATAATTAAAGATTTAAAACTTGGTAAAGTTAAAATTTATAATAAAAATATAATAAGCAAATCCAAACTTTTAAAAACAACTGTATTTAAAAATATTTTGGAATTTTTTATAATAGTTTATAATAATAAAGTAAATCAAATTTTTAATAAAATTTTAAATAATTTTATAAATTCAATAAAAAAAAAATATAAAATAATAATTTAAAAAAAAAATAAAAAATATTTATTGATTTTATAATTTAATTAAATTAGATTTAAATATAAAAATTTTTTATAATATTAATATTATTAAGTATTTTCAATAAAATTTTAATATGTTTGCTAGTTTTTTAAATTAAACTAATGATCAATTATTTAATAAATTCTACAATTTTTAAAAACTTAAATTGTCTTTGTTTGTTATAATCTATAAATTCTTGGCTATTATAAGAAAAAATGGTTATTTTTAAACATAATTTTTTATTAATCCAGTTAAATCATAAATTTACAGAATAATGAATATAAATACTATTACTAATAATAATTTTTAATTTTATTCATAATATTATTATATGACACTATGATTTACTATAATTAAGCCAATTCTATTTTTATTTAGCATTATATTTATGAAATTTAAGGTTTAAAAGATTTGATGTACTGTAAACAAACTACTTTTGCAGATATCAATTTTAGTGTCAATCTTGTAGAGATCTAAAAGAATTATCGCTCTTGATGAAAAAACCATTATACATGAGCACAAGGTACTCTTTCAATGTCGCCCAAAACTTTATGTAATCACTGAATATGTAAATTAAAATCCGACGGTGATGATCATCATAGGCTCTCGGAAACCTCCGTGTAGCCATTCTTTCATAAAAGGTGAAGGGTGTTTCAGTTTTTATGGAATTTATGTGAGATTAATTATGTACACAGATATGCATAATCATGTTGTTGTTTAACAGGAAAATTTATTGACTTTCACACAGTCGTTACATATCGAAATTATCCATCTGTTGTTATTCGACTAATCTATGATCTACGCCATCGATAGTTTATTGTGTAAAGTATAAAAAAATATAAATGATGGGAAAAACGTTTTTGCTTGTCTCTTCTTGTGCCTTAATTTATAGGGAGACACCGTAATTTTAAAAAAAATTAATTTCACAAGTTGTTCGAACTCACTCAAGTAATAAATTTATCCTAAGAAAATGGATCATGATCACACGGTCGAATCCATTCGCCGAGGTAGCCAGATCATGGGCAATCTTAAGAAATTACTGGTGGCCAACCGCGGTGTACGAATTGCAACTTTCAAAAAATCCATCTTTTACGAAATTTTTTTTGCAAGAGATCATAGCTATGGCTAACTTTACTTTCAAAATAGGAAATAGCTATTCGAGTCTTTCGAACTGCTCATGAACTTTCAATGAAAACGGTCGCCATATATAGTTACGAGGATAGGTTATCAATGCATCGCTATAAGGCTGATGAGGCTTACCAAATCGGTGATCCGAGTTCATACTCACCAGTCGGTGCTTACCTTGCACAGGATGAAATAATTCGTATTGCTAAGCTTCGAGGTGTATCGATGATTCACCCGGGCTATGGATTTCTTTCTGAAAATGCGGAGTTTGCCAGGAAGGTAGAGGAAGCTGGAATTGCTTTCGTTGGTCCTTCTCCGGACGTTATTGAGAAAATGGGTGATAAAACAAAAGCTAGAGAAATTGGTAAGATAAATTTTCGGAGAACTGTCTGCTAATACGTGTTGGAAAGTTAAAGAAAGACGAAATCCTTTTTCCAATTTAAAGCAATCCAGTGCGGTGTTCCGGTAGTTCCTGGTAGTGACGGACCCATCTCAGAATTATCCGAAGTCGAAAAATTTGCGTCTCAATATGGATATCCCATTATCATTAAAGCCGCGATGGGAGGCGGTGGTCGTGGTATGCGAGTTGTCCGTGATGCATCATCCTTGGCCGATTCTTTTGAACGAGCAAAGTCCGAGGCACTGGCGGCCTTTGGCGATGGTACAGTCTTTGTAGAACGATTTTTGGATAAACCAAGGCATATCGAAGTCCAATTATTGGCCGACGGAGCCGGAAACGTGATTCACCTGTTTGAACGTGACTGTTCAGTTCAGAGACGCCATCAGAAAGTAGTCGAAGTTGCTCCGGCTGTTAATCTTGAGGTATGTCTCGTATAGGATCTCAACCTTTAGGTCCATCGAATATCAACCGTGTTTTCAAGCTTTTTGTTATAAACAGAGTTCAGTTCGTGATGCCATCCTTGCCGATGCGATTAAACTAGCGAAATCTTCGGGTTATCGAAACGCTGGTACCGCCGAGTTCCTTGTTGATCAACAGAATAGACATTATTTCATTGAGATAAACCCAAGGATTCAAGTTGAACACACCATAACAGGTACGTAACCTGATCTTAAGATATTTTCTTTTTCGAGGCATGGGAATATCGCGAGACTGAAGTTTTATTTGTGGTAGAGGAGATCACGGGCATTGACATAGTTGCCGCTCAAATCCAAATCGCTGGTGGTGCACTCCTAAACCATTTGTCACTTGTGCAAAACAGAATACAGACGCGAGGTTATGCGATCCAGTGTCGTATTACGACTGAGGATCCCTCGGCAAACTTCCAACCAGATACGGGAAAAATCGAGGTGTATCGATCATCCGGTGGAAATGGTGTTCGCCTGGACGGAGGTGCTGGATATGTCGGCGCAGTGATTACACCGCATTACGATTCGTTATTAGTCAAGGTTACATGCAGAGGACAGACATTCGAGTTCGCCAGGCGAAAGGTCCTCAGAGCTATAATCGAATTCAGAATTAGAGGTGTAAAAACAAATCTTCCATTCTTACAGCGTTTGCTGACGCACGATACATTTATCGCTGGAAATGTTTGGACAACTTTCATCGATGACACACCGGAACTTTTCAGGTTAGTGGGCAGCAAGAATCGCGCCCAAAAAATTCTCAAGTACTTGGGCGATGTTATCGTGAACGGGAGCAGTATTAAAGGTCAAATTGTAAGTACCGTTTCTTTGACGATTTTTTTTAATGAGTCAGAATCATGTAAATATTTTACGGTTTCTTACTATTCAGGGTGAGCCTTCTTATAAGTTACCGATTACTTTACCATCAATTCGATCTTTGGCTGGCCCCGAACCAGTAGATGTACGTCACTCGCCAGAATATGGATGGCGGCATATACTAACCGAACAGGGACCTGAGGCATTTGCCAAGGCTGTTCGCGATTATGACGGGGTATTGATCATGGATACGACGTGGAGAGATGCTCATCAAAGTTTACTGGCAACCCGAGTTAGGACAATTGGTATTGTAAATTTATAAATTTCAAATCAATCAATTTAGTTCAATCCGTTGTCAATTGTGGGTCTAAAAAAACTTTTACCATTTCAGATTTATTGAATATAGCACCAAGCACATCGCATGCTCTTGCAAATGCATATTCTCTTGAGATGTGGGGCGGCGCAACTTTTGATGTTTCCTTGAGATTTTTATATGAAGATCCTTGGGATCGTTTAGTATGTGGAATTTGAATTGTTTATCTTTAAATATTCATTCATTTATTTATCCGTTCAATTTTCGATGAAATTAATATATTAGGCCAAATTGCGTGAATTAGTTCCAAACATTCCTTTCCAAATGCTTCTTCGAGGGGCAAATGCGGTTGGTTATACGTCATATCCGGACAATGTTATCTACGAGTTTTGTAGAAAGGCAAAGGAATATGGAATGGACATTTTCCGTATCTTTGATTCCCTCAACTATATTGAAAACATGAAATTGGGCATAGACGCCGTGAAGAAGGCAGGGGGTGTGGTAGAGGCAGCTATTTGCTACACCGGCGATGTGTCGAACCCCAATAAGAAGAAGCATAATTTGGATTACTACCTAAACCTGACTGAACAATTGGTGAATGAAGGAATTCACGTGTTAGCAATTAAAGACATGGCCGGCTTATTAAAACCCGATGCAGCAAGGATGTTGATTGGTTCCATCAGGAAGAGATGGCCTTCTTTGCCAATTCATGTGCATACTCATGATACTGCCGGTACAGGCGTTGCCAGCATGTTGGCAGCCGCTGAGGCAGGCGCTGATATAATTGACTTGGCCATTGATAGTAAGCAATTTAAAGAAAGATCAAATTCATCTTACATTATCACGTTATATTTATCGTCATGATCTCCTTGATAAAAGGCATGTCCGGCGTCACCTCACAACCGTCAATGGGCGCCGTTGTGTCAGCCCTCGAAAACTCCGATCGTAGTACTGGCATTCGGCTTGAGGATGTGCACGCATTAAATGGATATTGGGAGCAGGCACGCAAATTGTATAGCTGTTTTGAGGCTGGAGTGTTGGCGGCTGATTCTTCGGTATATGAACATGAAATGCCTGGAGGACAGTATACGAATCTCATGTTCCAAGCATCACAACTGGGTCTCGGCAAACAATGGAAGGAAATCAAAAAATCATACTATGAAGCCAACAAGCTTTGTGGAGACATCATAAAAGTTACACCTAGTTCAAAGGTGGTCGGAGATCTTGCGCAATTCCTTGTGACCAACAAGCTTTCGTATGATGATGTGAGTGAGAATGGGATTGCTTTTGAATTTTTACTAGTTGATTATCAGCGACTTATTTCATAAAATTTTTTAGGTCATTGCGAAGGCACAAACATTGTCATTTCCTGTGTCAGTCGTAGAATATTTCCAAGGCTATTTAGGCCAACCATACGGAGGGTTTCCCGAGCCTCTCCGCACACACGTACGAGAAAAACAAATGCTTGAATATTTTTTGAATTAAATTGAATCAGAAAGTTGATGCAAAGATTTTTCTCTATTTCACAAATAGATCATTCGTGACTTACCTAGAATAGAAGGTCGACCCGGAGTAACTTTGGAACCATTAGATTTTACCAAGTTAAAATCCGAGCTAGTAGCCAAATATGGACGTTCGATCAGAGATGTGGATGTGTTGTCTGCTGCCTTGTACCCGAAGGTCTTTGCTGACTACCGTGAAATGCTAGAGAAATTTGGAGACGTATCGATAATTCCTACCAGATACTTCATATGCAAACCGGATAATGGAGAAGAATTTTCCATTGCTCTTGAGGAAGGTGTCGCATTGATCATCAAATATTTGGCAGTTGGGCCGTTGAATGTCGGTAACGGAAAACGAGAAGTATTCTTTGAATTAAATGGAGAGGCAAGAGCTGTTGGTGTTGATGATAGAACTGCCGGTGAGTAAAAAAAAATATGAAAAACTTTTACAACGACAAACATATCTATTATCTTTCATCCAATCCTTTTTTTCCTTCGACAGCTATTGAAACGGTTCACCGAATAAAGGCGGACCCCAGTAAGCCCGGGGAAATTGGAGCACCCATGGCTGGCGTTGTAATTGAGATCAGGGCCAAAGGTTAAAAAATATTATTTTATTTTATTTTATTTTTTTAGTACATTGAAGATGATCTAACCGTGTTTCAATTTTTCCTGATTAATAGAGGGAGCTGAAATAAAGGCCGGAGATCCTATATGCGTACTTTCCGCAATGAAGATGGAGACTGTAGTCACGTCGTCGGTCTCGGGCAAAGTTGAACACGTGGAGATCAAAGAAAATGATTCTTTATCGGCAGGAGATTTGATTGTCAAGATAGTCAAAGAATAAATTAAATAACAAAAACCGACTCTCCTCTCCTGTTAATTTGTCTTGTCTATTCAACAGTCATGAAAATAGGAATTTTAATTTAATCAATACAACGATACCATAAAGGTTTTGTTGTTTTTGAGTGGTTGTATCATATATTCATTTTTTCAGTTATCAAGGTCGCATAATTAGTATTTTTTATCTCACAACATTTAAATTATTGTAATTACAAAATTAAATGAATTTCTCTCGGCACGCTAAGTTCAAGAAAGTTCATGTTTATGCACGGTAAACATATTTACATACATCATCACCCTCAATTTATTTGTGAGAATACTATAGACAGTTGCATTTGTTAACGACCACATTGACCAATAAAAATGTTATTCATAAGAAATTTCAAGCAAACTTTAATGATTCTAATATGATATGATATTTCTTTACAAAAAAAAATTTTTTTTTCTTTTTTCGGTCGCGTTTGATGCCGCGAATAAAATTACGTATCCGGCCGGGTATTATTAATATTGTGAGAGGGATGAAAGACTTTCTACATGTTCGCAAGTAAAATTCCGAGACTCCGTCTCCGCACTAGTTACAAAGATGTCAAACGGTTTTCGGTGTTCCTGGCATGTTATCCGTTGAATTCAACAAACTGTTATATCGGGCGGTATTCAATAGCCACGTCCTACCATCTCCCATTCTTATTTTTTTTAAAAAAAAAAATATGATGATGAATCCTTACATCAAGAGGAATATATAAAAAGAAATTGAAATATCCAAAAAAAGATACATACGGTTCTCCGACTGGGAAAAACCATGAATACCAATTCGAACCCATTACTTGAACAAAGTTAGCCCTGTAAGGAAAAATGGCGTCATTTAGCTCGCTCGGAATTCTTCATATTGCAATTGACAATCGCTCGCATACCTTTTACCAACATCAAATAGATTCACGAGTTTCCCGCTGGTCGCCTCTTCATCTTCGCGCATCTTAAAATTTTGCTTGGTCCTCAAACTTTCCAATGTGGTCTGATTAGACAATAGCAGACTTGTGTGGTATATGGCAAAACCCAATAAACTTAGCGCAAACACACCGCCAATTAGGATAAGGAAGGAAATGTTTAGGTCCAGGTTTATTATTGTTGCCTATGCAGGCGGGGAACGCGTAAGCTAATTAATAATTGATAATAATTTTTGTCGACTTGGTGAATGCGGCGGGAGAATTGAAGTAAGTTACCTCATAAGACAATTGCATGTAACTTATTGTAGGCGGTATGGTCGCTACAGTGATAAATACCGAATACACTGACCCCCAGATGATGAATAGACAGAACGCTTTTTGATTGCGAAATCCTATGCAATTGTTTAGCCTAATCAGGAAGGCGTTATATGGAGTGGATTGTTTGAACGTGGGTTGAAATAAAGGGAGAGAAGATTTGACGAAAGACCACTCGCTTACCATGGGCAATGACTTGCAAAAAAAAAAAAAGAATTGAATGGATGTGAACCAATATCATGAACAAAGAACAGTAGATTATTCACGATTCAATACTCACTGATCCATCTTCAGAATGCATCTGTGAAAGTGCGAGAAAAAAAAAAGGAAGGTTAAAATATATTCGAATTCTTTCTTTATACACCGCCTCGCGTACCAACCTCTTGCAGACTCGGCAGTGATGTGTCCTATCCGGCTTATCATACTGACATTTCTGACAATATCTCTTCTCACCGCTTCGTTTTACCATGATTGATCCCATCGCAACCGGATTTCCATTTTCGTCTAATACGATATTGGATTTTTCATCTGAAGGAGTTCTTGTTATGCTAATTTCCGGACTACTATGGGCGTCGGTGTGTTTCTGATAATGCTGAGACGAGATGGTAATTTCTGGAAGGGCGGTGGTTATCCGGGAGGTTCTTGGTGATATTGGCTAAGGTTGGAATATCCGAGATCACTAATGTTAATGAAGGAAGGACCAATCGAACCGATCGATTTCGGTTGAAGTAAATCCTTACGTCCGAAGGGTAGCCCGGGGAAGTGAAAGTGGCAACAAAATAACACCACATCATCATAAAAAGTAATGGGTGGTATATGACCAAATATATTATTGCTTTGTAAGGACAATGGTGGTGGTGATAGTGGTCATTGATTCGATTTCGACACGCTCGTGAACCAAGGAAGAAAACGTTATTTGAAGTCTCACTAAGAAAGAACATACCTTGAGCGTAATTGTCCCTCAGCAAACGAAAGATACATAATCTCACCACGAAGGAATAATACGACCATGCCACCAAAAGTACGATAAATAGTACCGGCAAATAATTTCCAATTTTGATCACGAACTGAAAGAATTTGTTCTCGATGTTTTTTTGCGATTTTGCCATCAAGACTGGAAGAGAGAAAGGTTAAGGACCGAATTTCGATTTGCAGTTGAGTTCAAGCCACTTTTGTCGCATCAGTACATCTTTATGGTTTCGAAAGGAAAAGAAGGATAACACCGCAACTCACCTAATACCACATGAAAGACAATAAGCAGATAAAACAAGAGTAATATCGAATGATTATAGAATGCCGTGGATCATTAAGGTTCTCGCTATTGCGACCGTCTTGCACGCATAAACAATAAAGTCATTCTCATTCAGGAAAAAAAAGCTGTCCCGATTCCTTATTATTATTTTTTTTTGGAAACCTGGCTAAGCCTCTAGAGAAGATCACTATCACGGAGGATACTTGATTTTGTTCAAGTTTTTTTTTTTAATACGAAGTCTATTAATTAATTCTATGTTACATAAGATGTTCGCAAAGAATCTTTACAATAAAAGGAATATATGCTATGCGTCCGATTTAAAGATATTATTTCCGAAAACGTTCGAATCTATTTTGCACGTAATGTATTCTATTTAATACACGTAACTCGCTTCATTCTACTACGACTCGTCGAAATAAATGGAAAGGAAATAATAATCATGAGATGATAAACTAGTTTACAATAAATGCACGATTTATTTTATCCACTTTAAGTTATTATGTATTAACTATGATTGTTAATGAATGGTACATGTTGACTCGAAAAATAAAAAAATGGTATACACGCAGTGTTCTTTCAAGGATTTTTTTTTTTTCCGACAGACTCTCAATTTCCACGAAACCACCTTGAAACAGTTTACTCTTTGGGCATCACGCGCGAGATATGGCCGATCAAGTCTATATGTCTGCGATAAATGATTCCCGTAAATCTCGCGGAAGTCCTGATATTATGATGTTTGCTTGTAATCTCAGCTTTTCCCGTTGTTTGGATGTCAGCGTTGATGGTGATTCGCCGTTGTTGTCCCGAACAGCTGTCGGAGGTAGTGACTGTGATGATGCGGAATCAGGTTGAGCTGATAGTTTCTGGATGAGAGAGAGAGGTGATTCGTGCGTTATTGAGAGTTAACAATAATCCACAGGAATTTTGGCAGATTTCATGCACAGATCAACATACCAATTCATCTCTGATTCTAACCAATAAGTCAACCAACTCCATCTCATGTTTCCCAATGATCCATTTCTGCACGTCGTCTTCGCACAGCACCTTCAAATACCGCCTTCTCAACTCATTTTGTGCTTCTATCGTCCGCAGACGAAGCCACGTTGCAAAGTTTCCACATTTCAAAAATTTCGTGTAAAAATTTACATATGTGTTTGTTACATTTGTGGGAAAGTTCTTTGACTTAAACGGGATCTGTGGACCTTTTAACGAAATGTTGAGAGTTACATGGGGCGGTCGTTAGATAGACGGTCAGTCTGATGAGATGCAAGAGGATGTCTGGAAATTACCATGTTCCTGCAATGATTTTAGAAAGTTATCTGTTTTGAATGGTTTGAGCTGAGGGGATTCGTGCGAAGAAAGAGTTCTAAAGAGAATGAACAAGTATTCATCAAGATCGGGTTCACGCGGAGAAAGGTGAATAATTACTTGATTCTTTTTAACAAACAATACTCACATGTGAAATGGAATCAGAGTTGAAAAATAGCGGTTCAATGGAACCAAGAACTTTTCGGTGAGATCCACAAAGTACCGCCTTAACATGTTATTTAATAAGTAGTCTGAACAAATAGAGAAAAAACAAAAATAGGTAAATAACGAAGAAATTTTAGCATTGGACAAAAATTTTGGGAACGCCACGATCGTCGTTTACCTGGTGGATAGCCACGAACTGCTGCCTCCGCAAATTTCTTAAGTATCGCCTTATCCTTGGCAATTACAGATTTACGTTTGCTTGTAACTCCCTAATGAACGGTCAACATTTATTGTGAATATTGTATCCGAAATTATACACGGAGAATGGTGACATCGAACCTGCACAGCGTCTGACGAGGAGACGTGAAGACCCCTCCACGAATTATCATAAGTTTTTCTGCACGTAAATCATTGGGAACGTTGAGATACGGTAAACTCACATTATAAAAAACAAACTGCGAATAATCATGACGATGATAATAGCAATCATCGACAAAATACCTTGTTCGTAATTTCCCAACTCCAACTCGAATTATGTTTGGCCAATGTTGCAATGCTTTTGAAAAGAATGGATTTGTCACTCCAATTATTATATTCGACGGTGGCTAGGTAGAACATGCGCGCACAACTACCTTAACACAAAAGTCCACAAAGAAAGACGATGTTGATATGATTAATGAGAAACGCGTACCCTATTTTTCGTCACGAAGGTTTTAAAATCTGAATCTTGAATGGTGAAGTATGGTCGATAATCCCCGCAATAAGGTATCTAATTATTAAGTAATAAATCTATAATAAATTATGATTTCTTCATCAAATAACAATGATGAAAGATTATTGTACTTGCATCCCGGAACTTACTGGATTTATGATGTCCATCAACTCGAGTACCGACTCACTGCAAACCTTTGGATCCGGTGCGATCAGAACTATTGGTTCGGCAAATAACATCAGCTCCCAACATAACCACAAATCCTTGATCATCCCTCGAAAATGAGTGAACATCGGGGTTGGTGGTAATGAGGCAAGTATCTGAAGGTCGGGTCGATAATCGGACATGTCAAATGGACACGTCTCTAGCAACTGTGGTTTATTCGGTTGAGGTATTTCCACCTGAATTACGTATCCGAGGAACGGGAGGTCAAATAATTTTCCGGGTGATGGAGATTTCCTTAATTCGTAGGTTATTTGATGGGGGAATTAATAAATTATGTGCATCTAGTTAGCATCAATCTGATCGATTTCTTCGTCTAAGCGGAACCAATGATAATTGACAAACCATCTGGCAATATCATGACACGCCGCCTCCAGCATCGGTTTTCCCACTTCAAAATATGAAGGACCAAGTATCGATACCACCCTCGAGAAAAGGCCAACGAACGGGTACTGGGACAGTAATACCAGTGATTTCTGGAGGCGAAAGATCAAATGGATTTAATTAATGTATTAATAAAATAAATTCCAAAAGACGAATTAAAATCTATAAATAAATCATGTAAAATTCCCCAGGCACCTGCAAGTAACCTCGTCTTATTCTTGGATCTTTCTTTTGTCGAAAGAATACGTAACCATATAAGAATCCCGCATCAGCGGTCGGACCTGTGGAACAAATTGATCATCTTTTTAGACTGTGATTATGATAATTATATGACAATGTCAGTCTTGATCTCCCAAAGTATGCTCGGAACTTCACGGTCCTCGAAGAAAAACCGAAAATTAGTGCATTCGTCAATTTTTCACTTTACATTGTACATTTCCCGATCAAGGTTCCCCAAGAAATTCACGCTCTACAGTGACTAATCTCTAATAGACATTATACCGATGTACCCTAGCTAATATTAAACAAAGAAAGTTTTATGTGATGCTAATTTAGTCTCACTATTTAGGAGAAGTCTGCAGTGCTAAGTGATGATCTGTAGAACCCGTACATGAATGGAAAATAACAGGGATCCTTTCAAACAGGCATCGTCTGACTCAATATTGGGTAAACTAACGTAAACAAAAAGCACATCGAAACAATCAATCACTTTTCGAGTTAAATATTTCGCCTCGAGTGTCTCTCGCGAACTCTCGAAACCCTCACTAGCTCTAATCTAATGATAAACAACAAAGATAGTCTTTTACACAAACCTGAAGCAGCCAGTCCCGATTTTGAACATCTTATCCGGAAGTTAAATACCGTATCGCCTACGTCGAAAGAATTGGAATCCGGGAAAGACGAAAAACAAATGTTCTTCTTTTCCTCGTCTCCTAATTCTAAGGGTGGATACATGGAATCTATCGCCTGACCCAATTCCAGGTCAAAGTTTACCACGCAAAAGCACACCATCCAGTTTCTAAAATTGTCCAATGCCAACAACTCCACAATGTCCCAACTACTCTTCCGACGTAACTTCTTTTCAACACTACCGCTCTTTTTATCCTGTAGGACGGCGGGTTTACTGCTACCGCGCGTTTCGCCGAGGGACTCGTTTGAACCGTTCGAAAGTCTCGTCGCGTTTGACTCGATCAATGGTTTCAGTCCCTCGGCGGTAAATATCTCGCAATCACTGAACGGGTTCCTGGCAAGGCTTGACGTGCGGCCAAAATGACCGCCCGAAGAACCTCGGGTCCCTTTGGTATAAGAGAGTGAACGGGTTCTTGGTGAAAGACCGTTGGGAGATCTGGACGTTTCAATCTTCGAATTCAACATGCTCGGTAACGTTGTGGTGGATTGAAAGCCGTTGGATATTATGTGTTTGGGAGGAGAGGAGTAAGAAGAAGAGCAAGAGGGATGTTGAGAGGAACTGTGCGATGGCGAGGCGCTTAAATTATTAACTTCCGACAAGGTCAAGGTTGTGAGTGAGGAGGATATACGGTTCGATTCGAGACTGTCTGTTTCTGAGGACGGGTGAAAATTAGTGGTCATCTGTTTGCTATCGAATATAGGATTTCCGGTTATGGGTGACGTTCGGGTTTCCTGTACGGACGCACGATACAACACCTTACGAGCAGGGATAGCAATAGCTGGAGAAGTTGTTGAAAGTTCAAAATTGAGATGTGATTTTGTCATGCTTTCTTTTTTTTTTATTAAATTTATGAGAATCCTGGTTGGACCAGTAATAAACCGGTTGTTCGGAGTAGGAGGAAGGTGACCAATATAAGTTTGGCCTAGTTTTTGTAGAATCTATATACTATTGTTACTAATTATATTGTAAAAGTATTATATAAATCAGAACTTTTTTTTGTAACAATAGAAATTTACATCAAATTTCCAGAACCCAGTACTATATAATTATTTATATATTTTTTAAGACGTGAGTGTGTGTGCGAATGTACACCGATTACTTTTTTATCAAAAGGAATTATGTGAGTATATATAAAAAGTTTTTTCTTTATTGCAGAAAAAAAAATAAAAAAATACCAAATTTTTATAGTAAATTTCCAGGTTTGGCACAAAGAAGGAAGTCGCCGTATTCAATCTGTCCATTCAGAATTTGATGATGCATGACACAAAATATTTTTTTTGTACTTGATCATCATCAAAGGTTGGCATTGTCGTGTTACCTTTTTGGAGGTATGAACTTGAAGGCGCTTATCTCTCATTGGAGTCTATAAAAGTATCATAATAAATAAAATAATTTTGGTGTTAAATTACATCGCACCCAATTTCTTTACACCGCATAGACACACGATACTCACAGAATTGTCGCATGAGCCCGTTCGTTCGCAAAAGAAATCACAAAGTAAAATAATCTCTGACATCCTAGCAATGCTTACGTACTGATCGATAAACGGATCGATACGAATCGGTCCTGGACACGTGATGTATCACGAATGTATCAAAGTTCTCGATCGTAATTTTTTCATTACGCAACGATAGTGTCATCCTTGCCTGAAAATAGAGTGCGATTCTACGAGTAAAATAAGTTGCGAAGTAGAATTTCTTGTTGATAAGTAGAACGGTTTTTTTATTTGCGAACATGCGTGAATATGGCGAAGGCCGAATTCTCTGAACCTGCAGATCCCAAGCAAAAGGTTGTCTTGAACGTTGGTGGCACGAAGGTGAGATAACCATGTGCGCATGTAAAAATTTTTGAGTTGTTCGTTAGAAAAAATGTCATCTTTTGTTTGGAAATAATTCGAAACAGCCATTACGACATTAACGCGATACCCTCGAACATTCCTTGGCAAGATTTTTCGTGACGCTGACCTGGAAGGTGACGGTGCCGAATATTTGTTTAATCGAGATGGTCGTGCTTTTCACTACATCATGCAATTCTGTCACACCGGTCGCATAATGTGGGATGATCGAATCAAAACTGCAATTTCCACGTGTGTCGCGAACTGCAAAACCCATTCCACAATAACTCGGGACGGGATGAACTTGAAAATGAAATGACATTCCCCGGCTCTCATTTTCCGTACGACAATATTACACTGAACAAAATATTCCCACGGTGTCGGTGATCTTGATTGCAATATGTTGGAAGGAACGAGTAAAATAGCATTTACAGAAGTTTGAGGTACCTCACAGGTATGAATTGGTTATCACAACCTTGAATAGTACGCATGTGCTTGTTTATCATACTGGATTCTCCACATCTTTACATTTTGCATAAATTATTATTATTATTATTATTATGTACATATTATCTTGGGTCATACTTTTCGGCTCTCGGTCACCTTACATTTTAATTACTTTTACACTGCAATCAATTCTGGGAACATTTCGTTTGACAAAGTTGACGTCCGTTTCCGGGACCGGGCGAAAGATGAAACTCAAGTAATTGTGATGAATTTCTCTTTATTAAATAACGCCAAGAAAGAATTATACAGTAACTTTTTTTTTAAAAAAAAAAAAAACCAAACTGCCTTCATATACTGTATATTCGTACGATACACGGTATATCAGTTAAACTTATTGGCATAAGAACACTTTAATTACGATAATTGTACGCGGTATACAGCATATAGAACGCTAACCTGTACAAAATCGTTTAATTTAATTACTGTATGTTATAAAATTTTAAAATACTATATTTCACATACTAATATTTTCATCTTTTAAATCTCTATTGCTCATAAGATCAATTCTTAAATAAACATTTAGATTTTTTAATGAGTTTATTTAAAGATTCACTTGTTTCTTCACATAAAGACAAACATTTATTTTTTCTACTCGAATTATTGGCTCATCAAAAAAATTTTTTTATTAAATTTTTTAGAATTTTTATTTGACTCTTCAGCTGATAAAGAGTCAAGAAAATTGTTATTCGAAAAAATGTTGACCTTGAATCAAATTTATTATATACTATTTTATTATAAAAAAAATCAAATTTTTAAAAAAAATATAGTTTTTTTTTTTTTTTACCTGTGATCAGGCCATCATTGTGTATTCATTAATCATTAAAAAAATCAATAAAAATACATAGGGCAATTGCATTATGGCTAAATTAAATCACATACTGACTTACTTGTCAATAGCTTTCAATTCTCAAAAGAGCTTCAGCCTCTAAATACAACCTTGAGTGCAATATTTTGCTCCATATTAGATTTTGAATGAATACCCTTCTAATTTATATATCATTGCTAGCAGGTTGTCACTACTTATTATCCTTCAAGGAACTGATTTTAAATACTACAAAAAGAAAAGGGAAAAATAAAAAGAAAAGGATATATCTAAAAATACACAATTGTATTATTGCATGAAAATAAAAATAAAAACACTTCATATTTTTCAAAGAATCTCTATTGAAAATCTCTTTTTATTAAAAATCAATTCTTCTGAAATATTCTTCTTCTTTTTGACTATCTAAAAAACTTATTTATCTGTAATCTTGATTATTTTTTTGTGACTATCTGAGATACTTATCACTTATTCAATTCAATATTTTGTTCAACACTTTCTTTCTTTTGATATTAGATTTTATATTTATTTACACAAAAGAGAATAACTTACAGTGATTCTCAAATTCTTATGTAACCTTTTTAGCAATCATGCTTAGTTAAAGAAATTTTACTGATAAGTATTTTTCATTATTCAAAAAGTCAGATTATCTAACAACTTTTTTACTTTGTAATAGTAAAAAGATTTTGATGGTAATAATGAAAATTCTTATCAAGTATAATATTATTATATAATATCTGAAAAAATATATTCTCGGTTCTAAAGAAGGATAGTGATTCACAATTTTTTGTTTTTCAGTCTTAAAATTTTCTTTGAATAAGGAAATAATTTTTTTCATATATTTTATCTAACTGGAATAATAAAAAATTGAAGGTCTCAACTTGAATTAATAATTTTTTTACTATCTAAGAAATTTAGTATCTTTCTAATAGTCTCATAATTTTTTTATTTTGGTTAAACTTCATTTGAAAAAGTAAAGGAGTTTATATCAGTGATTTCTTTTTTCTTTACTATTAATACCATTAAAATATATAAATATAATCAATAAAACTTGTTTATATTTTATTATCAATATATTTTATATTAATCAATTAGAAACTTGTTAATATTTTATTATTAAAATTCAGGGTTAAACTGAGATAGACAAAATTTCTTCCAAAAATTGTGAAAAATTGTAAAAATTCTAAGAAAGTAAAAAATAATATATAAGAAAGTGAATAATAAATCTTTTTCAATCTAAATAATCTCTATTTTTATATCATTTCTAGTATTAAAAGATAATACTTTACAAGTTAATCTTTTTATTTCCTAAAATCTTCTTACTTTTAGTAAAAAATATATATACTTGAGTTTATTTAAATCACCAAAGATTTAAATTTTTGTTTAAAAAAGTTTATAAAAAAATAAGAAAAAGTAAGAGTAACTTTTAAAGACAAGCTTCAAGTTGTTTTAAGAAAAGTGTGAAAACTATATTAGTTAAAAAGTATATAAACTTCTTTTGAATATTTTTTTTATGTATGATTAGAGAATTAGTGAAAAAATTTTTTTTTAAAAAAATAAATATTTATCTATCTATTTTTTTTAAAAAAAATCCTTAGTTAGGCTAGATATATATACGTTATTAAATATTTATATACTTTATATTTAGAATGATTTATTAAAGCTAAATATCTATCTAACTTACTTATTTCTATTTTATAAATTTTCTAAAATTAAGTACAACTTCAAGAATGATTTATCACTCTATTAATAGTTTAAATAAAATTCTTTTAACTATTTACTTTATAGTATATAGATCATTAATGTAAAACACTTTGCAAGATTTTAACTAGATTTAAAATCTTTTTAAAAATAAATAAATATATATATATTTTTTAATCCCCTGTCAGATTAGATATGTATGCTTTATTAAAAATTTGTAAATTATATATATAATAGGAATCACTAAAGTTAAAAATATTAACTAGCTCACTCATCTTTATAATTACTATTTTAAGTACAACTTTAAATGTAATTTATTACTCCATTAGGAGTTTGTATGAAAACCCTTCCAACTTCTAATATTATTGCCTGCAAGTCACTACTACAAATTACTCTTTTAAGTTTTGATAATACTCAAAATCCAACCATCTCATTTCAAATCTAATTCCTCTTAACAAGATATTTTTATGTCTTTATCTTCTAATCTTTCTTTCTCTAGTATTGAAACTTTTCTTTCTAATCACTAGTTGAAAAATATTTATTTGATATAATACCACTCATGTAACATTTATCAAAAAAATAAATAATTTGACATATTAATGACATAAATAAATTAGCAATTAATTTCTATAATATAATTTGACATAAATACTATAAATCAGCAATCAATTTCTACTACATAAATTGTCAATTAATTTCTACAATATAATTTAGCACTATTTACCATATATTTATCTATTTTTACTATATATTTTATTAAAATTTTCCTTAAAAAAATCATCAAAATTCACAGATTTGCTAAAGTTTTAATTATATATTATATTTATAATTTAGAGAAATTACAGCCAAATATTTACAAAAGTCTTATCAATTTGAGATTCTATATCTAAATGGAATAAATCAATCAAAAATATTATAAATAGAGATTATACATTTACATTTAACTAGATAAAATTTGATATTTCACAATTTAACATTCATGTCATTTTCAAATCTGAAATAAAATCTATTTTCTATTGAATTAATGGATTTGTATCACTGAATAAAGATCAATTGATATTTAATAACATTATTTAGAAAGTTTATCAAATATATAAAAAAGAATTAAAATAAAAAAAAAAAACTCTTTCCGCTGATCCTAAATTTCCTTAAAAAATTTCCTTTTTCGGTAATTTTCTTGGAAAACTCAGAA